CTAGACTAATTAATTAATTGAAATTAATTAATTAAACAAACATTAAAGTTTACACCTTAGCGCCATAGGGCCATAGTGCCATAGTGCCATAGCGCCATAATGCCATATCGCCTTAGTTCCTTAGCGGCAGGCAACCCCCATAACCATCCCAATAGTGCACTCTGCACTAAAAACCAGGAAGATTACGACTGTAGCTTTTAAACATATAAAGAGCGGTCGTTAATATGAAACTAAAATTTGCCCATCAAGACCTGACAAAGATGGTCGTTGAAAACAAAACATATAAACCTCTTTTAAATATTTGGTTTATTTCTTTCGTTTTTCAGTAACTATCCTCGCATTAGTTAATGGTCCAAAAGCCTTTCACTATTACTATTCGCATTCTTAGAAATGAACCTTTTTATTCTCTCTTTTCACAGATACCTGATGAACTTTAGAGAGCACAATCAAGGAGAACTATTTATTAGTCATTATTACTTTAAAGGAACTATTTATTAGAGATGAGAGTAAATTATACTGGAACGATGATTCGAATATTACTGTAAGACGATCAAGATTAAAATTTTAAAAAAATCTAACAAAATTTAAGGAAGAACCAAGTTGTATATTATTTCGTTTTCTTTTGTTATTTGAAACCTACTATATAACCACTGTCAATGTTCTCATAATTGTTAGCAAGGCTATAAGCCACTATTTAATAATGATAACCCATCGCTTCAAGAAGGACTGTCAACAGTGCTGATTCCACTGAGTTACAGAAGCTATGTCGATCTAGTTTAACTTCCGGATAATTGCCTGTTTTCTTTAATTATAAGCTGTAACCTTAAAAAAATGAAATATTAATTTCCTGATAAAAAATCAGCTAAGTAAATACAACTGACTGGCGTGACAGAATAAACGTTCACCAATGTGATATGTTTCAATCTTGTCCACAGAGTTTGCTAGTGATCCTTTGACGTTATTCTACAGTTTTAGATCGTTAGTAGAAGTTAAGTTCTCTTTAAGTAACAGTTTCGATTAAATGCAAATTGCACCAAATAGCCTGACTAAGCCTCGTGACGACACAAATGAGTTCCAAGTTTCCGTTTTCCTTTATTGCTTTGATGATCCGCTGATCATGTAGTAAGGTTTTAAAATAAAGGACGAAAAAAGTAAACAGATTTAGTGAGTTTGGTGGATTTAAAACGTCTGGTTCATCTCAGACGTTCACTGAAAACCTGTGACGCTGAACCTCGGATGTCGTGATACAAACGGCACTGACCCCGTCCCTTGAGTAGCTTTGTCATCATATTCAAGATGGCGGATCAACGATCATGCTGTTGGACGATAGAATCGGTGCAAAGAAGACTGCTTTTAAGGCCATTAAGCCCTTGGATAGAGATAACATGAAGGAACGTACCACATCCGCTGTTTTTATACATTCCTTCAAGCAGTGCAAAAGAGGGGGTTTCTTTAACGAAAATATTTTTCATCAACAATGAGTGACAGTGCGTCAAGGCACGTTGCTACGCAATAACAATGGAACAGCAGGAGTTACCTACTTAAAATGGAGTTTGGTATCTTTTTCATTCCCTCTCTGGACAAAATGAACTCATATAGCTTAGGGCTGCTTTCGATACGCACCCCCAACACACTTTATTACACAGGTGTTTCCACTTGGTTCAAATCAACACTATGCTTCAAAAGTGAAGTCAGTTATTTTCAAAACATCGTTAAGCTATTTTGCTATCTTGGTTAAAGGTCGCACAAATGTGTGATTAGTGAACGGTGTCTAGATCATGCGGAATCGTTCATGCAGATTGGTTTTCATTTCAGTAAATAATAGTAAAACATAATTCAAGGTCACATAGAACATCAACTGGGTTCCTCCGAACAGCAGGCATGAAACTAAAGCCAATTTTCACAATTTTGTTTCATGAATTTCCTTTTTCAGTTCTCCCCAAAGTAATGGCTGCACTTCATACAAATTCCAAATATCTGCAAGACCCTCCAAGGTAGTACCTTATTAGACAAATGAAAAAAACTAATACGTCCGCTTGAGACTAGGAGGTCATCTATTTGAGCCAGGGCCAATCAATGGAATCAGTGGGCGTTCTAAATTTGTTTGACAGATTGAATGTCTGAGAAACACTTGAATCACTTAACACTATAGATGCCTAACCCAAATTCGATTCCCAGAGTGCAAATTGTGTAAATTCTAAAGCCATAGAGAGCCCACCGTAGTGGCAGCAGTGGTGCTTAAAGTCCAGAAACTGGCGTTTAAATCGATCGTAAGATGTTGGCTAGAGTATAGTGTAGCTCAATTACCGTGCTCAGAAATCGGCCACGAGTTGAAGGGAACACAATGTCTGACAGGATTATATTCTTTGCGACAATCATGGACAATGAAAATGGTCATCACAACGCCGGTCTCCTACAGGAACAGGAACAGGAACGAAATAAGTTCTTCGCTCAGTTAATAAATCCTTCAGAAGAGTGAACATGATGGAAGAGGAGTATGTTATATGGTCTATTTTGTCACAAAAGGTATGTATATGCAAAACAGATCTACCTGATTATATATTTCGAAAATGAAACTTGGCAGAGCGCTGCATCTTCAAAGTAGAAGACTGGGAACAGCATCTCTCAAAAACTACAAGGCGCGTAATCAATTGCTTCACAAAGGAAGTCACGTTTGTCACAGCTGGCGCGTCGAAGAAAGCAAAGTTGGTTCTGCTCCTTTTAAGTTTCATCTTGGTACGTATAACTTAAGTACATATGCGCATGAAAACCAAAATTGCGATGCAATTCAGACTGCCAGATTTCTAAAGAAAACTTATCGTATTTCCATTACCAATAGCATGAGGTGTATTACAATTTAAGCAAAAACAAAAAGTATGCACCTCATGAAAACCATGTTTCCTTCACAAAAGAAGTACTAAACGAGAATGTTTCTAATATTCCTAATTTCCAATTCGCTCTTTACTCTCATGACAACTTTCTCAATTGGAAAAATGCTTGTTTTTGTCTTAAAGGAAGGCGGCGAAAACTAAACGTGGTCAGCACAGCTAAAATTGAAGGACTCGAAGCGTCTTCGAGGGCTGATGTAAGTACACATTTAAAGTGCATTTATTCGTCGAAATGCTTTCATCATGATTGTTTCCGTACGCTCGTTCGTCGGTTTTCTGCCTCCTTAATTTGTTCTGAAATGATCTTCTGCAAGGACACCTACACCAGGCTTACGATATGGTGTTTCTTTGGCGTTAAATATATATACCATATAAATAACACATTCTTTTAATTTAGCCCAACAATTTGAATTCATCAGCGCCAAAGATGCTCGTAGTCCTGTTTTTCGTTATTCCACTGGAAGGGCAAAATGAGAGAATCTACATTATCGTCGTGATCAGGTATAGTTATGAGCTTAAACTACCTTTTGTTGTTGGATGCACATTAAGCGCCATTAAAAGGTCAATGTATACATGTAGTAGCTAATTCACATGATTTCACTTTGTATACTATGTTTTTTCTTTATGTATATGCTCCGATCGACCTCTTGCTTTCTAAATAACACGAAAAACACATCAACACAATTAATTATTGAACTTATAAAACTGACCGCAAGCTTTGTTATCACGTGTTTGTAAAACTTCGTCTCAAAATATTGAGGTCAAAGTTTGTATTAGTTTCGGTATGACTACTTCCTGATCACTTCACTTAACCCGTCACACTTCTTGGTTATATTGTGCACAGCAACAAAATTGAAGCTAGTTCTTAATAACATTTTAAGCTACTTAAATTTAAGTTGCATGCTTAAGTATAAAAGCGTATTGTAGTCTTATTTATACTTGTCAAAAAATCAAATATTAACACAGTCTTCAGTTCTAATTTAGACAATTACGTACAATGATTTTAGAACATCCGCCGGATCCAGTGGAGTCTGTTATGTTGTTTTGTTTAGGAGTTTCATTTAATATCACTGAAAAGAGTTTCTGACGTACGTTTTTACTCCTTCACACAGACTGATACAAGAACGACCAGGACTTCAGGCACATGTACGTATATTTGTATGTTTCTTAAAAATATGTACTAATCTATACGTACATAAGTAAACTGTGGAATTTGTCCATTGTTGCTGTCCATTGTTACATACCACAGAATGCATTATGTTATAGGCATGTCATGTGACCACAGTGTTGCCACATGAAAGGAGCCTTGAGCTTTGTTTTATGCAGTTAAATCTTTGTAAGAATCTAGGCGGTATAATTCATATTTATCATCGAGACAAGAATGTCTAAAATCTTATAACTAAACATGACGTCGTGAAATTGATTTTATGAAACACAATCTTCTTAATATTCAGGCATTTCATATTGGACACTAGAATGTCTTAGAAAGTTATAACTTTGCTCGACAAAAAGTTTTTATTACGTATTAAATTTACAAAACAGGAAAAAGGTTACAAGTTTAACTGTGTAACAACGGTTTCCTCGAATCCCTAAAATTTCCATTCAATTGTATAGCCTTTGGTAAAATTGGGAAGAAGATGATTACAACACAAATATCACGACAACACTGTGATTGTGACAACTGTTGTTGCTGGTTAATAGTCACAGTGGCTGTATAAGCAAATGCAGTAACATTTGGTACTAAAAGATACACATTTTTTTTCCACAGATACCCGATGCCCTTTAGACATTGTGTTACAAGTTATTTATTGTCTAAGTATTTATTTTTTCAATCAGGTTTCTGTTGTAATTTGACCCATTACTAATAAAAATTAATGTCCCTTGTCTTGAGATGTGATGTACTTGTGGAACTGGAACCCACAGTGTTCCTCGCTAATTGTATAAAACATTACTTGCAGTATAATCGCAGAGCGGTTAAATAGTAGCTGTAGTGATTGAGTTAGCTCTAACACCCACATTAGCTGTAGTAGCTGAAGTAGCAGTAGATGTAGTACTGTAGTAGCTGCAGTTCCTGTAGTAGCTACTACTAAATCTACTACAGGCTCTACAGATACTATAGATACTGTAGCGACTACAAGTACTAGAGCTGCTAAAGATACTACAGATATTACACTACTACAGCTACTACAGATACTACAGATATTAACTGCTACAGATACCACACGACTACAGCTACTACAGACACTACACAGCCACAGCTACTACAGTTACTACAGATACTACAGCTATTACTTGTAGTACCTGCAGGAGCTGTAGTATCTGTAAAACCTGAAGTAGCTGTAGTAGCTAAGTAGTGGTACCTGTAGTATCTGTAGAACTGTTGAAGCTGTAGTAGATATGGAGCTGTAGTAACTGTAGTAAATATAGTGGCTGTAATAGCTGTAGTAGCTTTAGTACTTGTAGCAGCGCTAACACTATGAAATGTTTAAAAGCGCTTTACATCAATAACTGTAACCCACATATTAGAACCTGCTTGATCTTGCTTGGCTAAACAGGTTCTTATATTTTTGGGTTTAAAATGACAAGTTTCTGCTGGCAGGTTCTTAAGGTTACAGTATACCTTCAGGGGTGTCTCGCGCGCAGGCGATGTAGCGCGTGCAGTTTAAGCTGTAGATACCTAAACCCCTATATCAAATTAAAGCTTATGGAGCTGACTATCAAACTATACCAAGAATTTTGAAAGAAAATGAATTGTCGAATTTTTCACGACCACTAAATGCGAGCGCCCGAATCACCTTTCGAAAG